ATAGTAATAGAAACTTTGTATTATAAATTCTTTTTTTTTTTTTGAAGTATTACATGAATTGAAAGCTTTAGAAAGAAGCAAATACAACCACAGTATACCTTAGTTATGTAAGCAACCAAATGCATTATTTCTGGTAAGCCGCAATTTTTTTAACTGAGTAACTTTAAAATATTCTTATTGTGACGTCATAAGTAGTTTTTTAAAAGAATTTCTTGTGGTAAATGAATTTTTAAATGGACGCATTTGCGTTATAACGCTATAGACTTGAACTCGACTATTAAGTTTCGGAATGATTTTCGAAATTTTGCACAACACTGATAAGATTTGCATGGATCTTGCCTTAATTTATTTGATTGAAGATTCGAACAAAACTGCGAATAGAGAGATTCGAAAATGATATCTAATTTGCATATGAAAAATTTCCCATTGCGCCTGATATTGGTTGTTATACCCTACACCATAAGGGCAAATTAGTGTGCGGATGTCTTCAACGCTCAGACGGACGTGAGATACATCCACTATTTATGATGCAAGCTTGTGTCTGTCCCTCTGTCTGTCTTTTTGTCTTGTTTCTTGTATTCCCTCAAAAATTCGTAATTTTTGAAATATTTTGATGAAATTTGAATGAGTGAGGACGAACGGTATTGAAAGCGATTCGGAACGGGCTACTATTACTCGACTACACCTCATATAAATCTTTACCTTGAGAAGTCATTACATATAATAACTATATTAAACGAAGTGATGTGAGGTATTTAATGGTCGGCCACGTCCCACTATGGTCTTTTCACTTGTCTTTCTTCTTGCAAGATGTTTGTAAAAAATACTTTGATTGAAAACAAATTCTTTTAAGTGAATTTATTTTCGAATACTTCAATGGTATTACGCTGCTAATGAACAAGAAGAATTACAGTAAATATAAGACACCGAACTTTGAAGTGAAATTGCAAGAAATATGGCAAATATACAATGTAGTTGCGTTTGCTATAAAGTTAAGGATTAATTCTAATGATAAAAGTTGCATCACCCCCAACAACATACAACCCACAATTACAAACATTAATAGTGCCATTTACACTTGAAAGCAGTGAATAGACATTAAGGAGAATTTTGATATTTTGATGTTTACGTTTTTCAAAATGCAATAAAAATCATTTGCAGACATTTATGAATTTTTTTTTGCTAAAATGATTACAACATAACAAAACATAAGGAAATTAAAAGCCAATAATGATTTACTTAATACACTTAAAATTTAAAAATCCTACAGTTTAGCACTATAGACTTTTCTGACTTGAGTGGAGAAGTGGGAGAAAAAGAGTAAAATCAATGCAGCCTCAACTTTTGGGATTATACTGTGCGTAACTATGACTAGCAAGCTAGTCCTTGAAGGAAGCAATTCCCAGTAAACAATTTCGTAAAAGCTTTCCGTCTTCATTTAATACTAAAGCTAAGTGTACTGTGTAACGTCGTCTGCATAAGCTATCAAGTAACTGAATGAGATTGTGTCACCGAGCGTTGTTGGGACAACCCGGAGCGCAAACTCCTCTTCTAACATCAAGAAACTGGCTCATAAAAGCCTGAATAACTGCAAGTTATAAGAGGTTGCAGGAGTTTTGAAATTACGAAAGCACTTTTTTTTTCTTTCTTCTTTTACCCAAACAATATAAAACGTCAAGAATATTTTCCCAAAGTTTTCAGTTAAGCGAAGTAAAAACTTATCGAACACAGCCCTAGAGTTACTTTGCCTATTAAATTCGATCGATGTGGCAGGTTTAGCGAGCTTTCTCATCGAGACGTGAGTCATGGGACACAATTTTTTACACACATTGTTCAAACGCGATTTGTTTTCTCATAATTAATTACATAAATATCAATATTTTTCTGTTTAGATATTAAGATTATATGGGATGTGATTGGAAAACTTATCCGATCCGAAAACATTTTCAATAGCGTTTGTCCTTGGACTAAAGCATGCCAGCGTAACTAAATTTCATTGAAGTATCTCAAAAATTGCTGCCTTTAAATTACACCATAAGAAAGTAAGACAGACAGACGGACAGACTAGCTTGAATTGATTCAGAAAATGACTGAATCGCTTTCAAGTCCTTCTAGGCGTTGCATACATACGCCCTGATAAAACCCGTACACTGCAAATGATGTAGTGGGCAAAAAAAAAAAGAAACAAAAAGACTTTGTGCAAAAATTATGACTTGAGACTCATTCGGTTAGATACTTCCACCGCTAACAGGGCACACCTACTATCTGTAGGGGATTAGTGCAACGGATATCCGTTGCATAAACAGCTAATATATATTTTGATAAAACGATGCAGAAAACTCATCGAATTATTTCTTTTTCAAAGTTATTTTTGGATCATCATTATTCGGCGTTCAATTTTTTTTCTTTATTTTAATTTATGTTGTTAGTTTATAGTAGCTAGTTAACCTTATTGTCAAACAAATATTGAATTTTGATTATTCCCGCAAGACATTTTTCCGAAAGACAAGCAATTTAATATATGTATGTATAAGAAATTTTAATAATAATATGAATCTTTCTTATTTCTTCTTTCGCCTTTGACGTTATGTCGTCTTGACGATGAGTAAATGATACTAAGAAGGAAAGAATTTCCTTTTTTTTTTGTTTATATTCTTTTTCAAAAGTTGAAATTCCACTTTTGCATTGTAGGGAAACATTCCAAAGAGTTTTAGCATTTTCCCTCAATAAAATGCACACAAAAATCAAATTATTATTACTACTATTAAAATTCTTGTAGTTGCACTTGGTATAAGGTATAAGTGCAATAAGAAGAAGAACAAGAGGAATAAGAAGAAGACTAAGAAGAAGAAGAAGAAGGAGAATGGGGGAAGAGGGAGACGGAGAAATATAAAGAGGCTAACAATTTCAACCCGACCTGACATTTGTAATCAACCCCAGTGTTAACGAAAAACTATAAACACAATGTCTAACCCCCTGCTTTTCCTAGATAAGGTACCCTTTAAAAAAAAAAAAAAAACAAAAAAGAGCATTTCTTGGTCTTGCATTCTTAGAAGGATAGAAATAGTAAGCAACGCCAAGCTCAGAAGCGGCCACAGCAGCACGATGAACAACAGCAGCAATAATAGAAATGAGGGCAATAAAATTTTATCACAATTAAAAGGGGAAAAAATGTCAAATTTTAGAAATAAAAGAAAAAACACAGCATCAAATAAACAAAAAAAAAAAAAAAAAAAACAAAAAAAAAAAAAAAATAAACCGAAATTAGAAAATTTCAAATCACAAATTGTAACAGCTGCACATCTACATCTATGCATACAAATATATATATGTGCGTGTGTGTGTATGTAAAAATAAGGCAGTTAGATACACAAGGGGAATCAATTCAGGTGGTAGCAATGGTGATAGTGGGTTGGATGTTGATATAACACGTACAAAGACAAAGCAAAGGTGGTGGATATGGTGGCAGTTACGGTAGTGTAGCAAAGTAGAGAGAAATGCACCCGACTGTATATATATATATATATATATATATATATATATATATATATATGTATATATGTATATTGGCCAAAAATATCTTTAAAATATATGCCAGATAATAGATAGTCTAAAAAATATTAAGCCTAATAGTAGAAATCTTATACGCTATTCTCAAATATCGTTTATAAATTAAGCATGAGACAATTGTATAGAATGAATATACATCAAGGCTCTATACTTTTTAAACAAATTAATATATTATACATCTGTGTGTTATAAGTACAATTGCTAAGGATTAAATTAACAACAACCAACGGACTCAATAAATGCATGAATAGACGAACGACGACTGAATGAACAAACGAACAAATGAATGTTACAGATTAGGGTCAGTTACTAAGAGGGCGCATCAAAAACCAAAGGCCACGTAGCCATACTCTACAATTCATTTTTAATATAATTAAAAAAAACAAAAAAAAAAAAATATATATATATATATATATATATATGTGTATATAAATATGTAGGTTTTTTTTCGAAATTTTTCCAATAACAACAAAGTTGTTGTCAACTTTTGTTCATTTGGTTGTAGATTTAAGAAAAGAACAAAAAACATTGCATTGAATTAAGTTTTTTTTTTTTATATATATATATATATATATATATATATATTTTTTTTTTTTTTTTTTTTAAATTAAATTGTGGGACGTTTGACTTTATTAAATTAAATGAAAAGCTTCATGTCTAAGCATAAAATTTCTATTTTTGATTTTTTTATTTTTTTTTTGTTTTCAAATTTGAATAGAGAGAGAATTTATTAGCGCGTACACTATAAAGAGCTGAGCTCTTCGTTGCCGTGTTAATTACAGATTGTTTGCATACATCAAAATGACACCTTTTGCTCTGTTTTCAAGCACATATTTTTTAAAGGGAGTTTGTATGGGTTAGTGTAAATGCATTTTTGTATAAGCATTACATTTGTTTATGTGTATGTATGGGATTTCTTATCCTGCACTTTTTTATTTATATGAATTATATGAAGTTTTTTTTTTTGTTTTCATAGGGATTTTCAACACTATAGATGCTGTTCCTGTTTTTTTTTTTTTTTTTTTTTTTTTTTTTTGGTTTTGGGTTGCTACTGCTTGCTGATGACAAAATATGCAAACGTGCTTAATTAACAGCAACTAACACACTTAGATATATATATATATATATATATATATATATATATACATATATACATATATGAGGAGAATTGACTAACTAACGAGCAGCTATGTCTATGTGGAACGTCAACAACACGAACAACAAAACTATATAGTCACACACATCTAACACCTAAATGTGTTGTAAAGGCACCTATATATATATATATATATATATAGATATATAAATATATATGTAAAAAAATGAAAAAAAAAAATTGTGTCACTAGCCAGCAAACCTCCCTAGGTAAAAGCAAGTCAGTTATTTTTTTTTTTTTTTCTGCATTACACTCTACATTGCACTTTACTTACCGGTGTTGAATAGGGATGCGCTGTTAGTCTAACTCCATCCGTTTCCAATTGTTCACGTATCACTATATCTAGTTCATTCGGTGGCGTTTCGCATAATATTTCCGTACTGCCTGACAGCGAATTGGGATCGTTGAGCATAAAGTAAACGGAAGCGGCACCCTTTTCACGTAACTGACGTATACTTTTCAACAGTTTATGACGATGTGCTGGATTCTCAACACCGATGGCATCTAAATCTGGATCACCGACTTGTTTGCATATTTCCAAATCATCGTAGCCATTGTCAAGAAAACTTTCCGCATACTGAGCTAAACCCAAAGCACGCAACCATTCGCATACAATATTACTAACGGCCATCTTTACGTGATTTACGTGATAAGTTAAGTTAAACGGGTAACGTAAGTAAGCAAAGCTTGCTTTCTCTTTTTTGATTTTTTTATTTTTTTTTTATTCCTTTACTTGCGTTTTTTTTTTTTTTTTTGTTTTTTTTTTTTGTTTTTATTTAACTAGCTCCTATTACTAGCTTGTCCAGCAATTACCATAACAAAATACTAATTTTCTGTTTGCCACTATATATTTACAAAAAATATTAAAATGAAAACACAAAAAAAAAAAAAGGGGAAATTTCTAAATGTTGCTTATGGATCACAACATTCTCGTTGAATAAAGCGATGAAGACGAAGACGTTGATTTTGTATTTTTTGTTTGATTTTACTTAAAATTGCTTGTTATGCATTCTATTTTATTTTGTTTTATTTTTTTCCTTTTTTTCTTTTTTTTTTTTTTGTAATATATGTATATACATCTATATGTATGTATGTATTTGTTTTATTTTAACACTCATCACTCCTTGTTAGTTTACTATTTATTTATTTAATATTATTAAGATTGGTATAGTTGCGTTTGTTGTTGCTTTTTTTTTTGTATTGTTGGTATTTGTATGTTGTAATGGCTTTTTAGAGTTCAGGTAGATGGGAAGTTCATGAACATTTTGTGAAAACATGCAATTTCCGTTGCAAACACAAAAACGCTCATTTGCTTAAACACCTTAATATACGTATACTTGGGCGCTCGCACATCTACATAAACACAATAATATTAAACGCATACATGAGCGAGCTCATAAAACAACAAAACTACTAAATAAGCGAACGCATACACACGAACGATGCACTTTGCCATTTATATACATAAGTGTATGTAATAATAATAATAATAATAATAATAATAATAATGGAAAATATTATTATTATGCACCATTATTAGTGTAGTTTACACACGTGAAACTTCTTAATTGAATTTATAGCACTCAAACGAACCGAACCGAACCGAATGAGCGTACATTAGCGTTAGCGTTTCATTTTAATTTTTATTTTTTTATTTGCATAATAACCAAAATAATAAAAAAAAAAAAAAAAAAAAAACACAAATACACACACACACACACACACGCACATAAAAACAAGAACCAGGAGAAAAAAAAAAAAAAGAACGATTCGTTATTAAATGAGCATAAAGGAGGGAGATTGTATGCATTTATAGCAGCGCTACGCACACAGCTACACAAATATACATACATATTTTTTATATTATTCGCAGTTATGCCATGCTATTGCTGCTTCTGTTTCCCATATTTTATGGTCGTAATCTCTGAACGATAATAACGGTGCAAATAACTCGTGCTTAATGCAAAGCACATACACTTATACATTGAATCATGAAAGTCTAAAGCATTTCATTAACCAAACATATATATATACATATATATATATATATATATTTATTTATATATATATTTATATATATATATATATATATATATATATATATATATATATATATATTTATATATATATGTATATATATAGTTATGCTTGCATACGCCGTCGTTAGTTACTCTGTCAATGAGACGACAGCATCGCCATGCACAATTGTAACAGGATTTCGTATTTAGTTGAACCGTTTACTTATTTCTATCTCTTTCTCACTCTTTCGCTTTCTTTGCTTATTTCAATCTTCTTAATAACATTTCCAAGGATCCTTTTACGCAGAGTATGGACTTCTATCCATGCGTATGTTTAAGTATTTGAATATCTTCTCACTGTCTTACTTCGTATATGTATATCTCGGTGTCAAAGTGGATGTTACTGATACTTATTGTTGTGTCTTGTTTGTTAGCTAGACAGGCTGCCAGCTCATTTCCGTTCTAAAGTCAAAAGATGACTGCCTGACTGTTTGAGTTAAGGCTTTTCATTTGTTGTCGTCGGCTTATTTTCAATACGCGTTGAAATATTGCTATTATTATTGTTGTTGTTGTTGTTGCTGTTGCTGTTGCTGTTGCTCTGCTTCTTGTTCTTGTTTTTCGTGTTGCTGTGTTTATTGCTGTGGACATCTATAACAAATATTGGTTGTGGTTGTCGTTGCAATTGGTCGTTGTTGTTGTTGTTGTTCTTAATGTTATATTGAAGTTTTCTCGTTATTATAGCTCTGTAAGTAATGAAAATAAGAATAAATTAATTAAATTTGAATTCATATTCATTCAAAGTAAAAGAAATAACGCAGTTTGGCAGTTTTTTCATGCATAAAATTTCTTATCTATACATCAGCTAAGTGTTAATTTTACAATAATTTCCTGATTACTTTTTTTAATCATCATCTTTCGCTTAAGTTATCAATATATTATAATTTTAATAATTCTTTTGCAACACTTTAATATGAATTTCGTAGGTGAGTATAATTGAATCGCGTAAATTTCTAAACCAATTTTGCTCGATACGGTCGTATTTTTAGCAATCCTAAAGTAATAAAAATTTAATATTAAACGGTAAAATCTCCTAAATGTATTCCCCTTTAAATGTATTAACATAAGATGCAACCTTAACAGCGACTTTCTTGCGAATGGATATATCGAAAATATATTTTATAAATAATTTATGATATATTAGGTGTTCCACAATGTCTTGATTTTTCAAAAAAATGTACATATATGAAGATTGTCTTTAGGTGGTCAACACTTTTTAGAACTAACTAAAAGTATTTACTAACGTCAAGATTACTATTCTTTACGCTAGCTAAGGTAGAAAATATTTCCAGCATATATATATATATATATATATATATATATATACATATATATGAATGAAATGAAGAGTTTTAAATCGACTTAGAAAAGGTTCTATGTTCATACGTCTATTTGGTAGTTAGTTAGTACTCTCACAACCATAAAAACCGATTAGGCAAGTAAAAATGAACTGAAGGAATTGATATAACGACTCTTCAAAATGAAGCGTTATATGGGAAATGTTCGAAAAAGTGGTTCGAACTGAATCATTCTCAAAACACGTCAGTGTACCAGACCTCATCAAAGTATCTCTAAAATTGCGGCCTGTAGATTGAACCCAAGAAACCAAGACGCACAGACGGGCAGACAAAATTAAATCTATTCAGAGTTACTTTGTGAATCGATTGGTATAATAAAAGGTGACTCTAAATTTCCTCTGGGTATTGCATGCGTCCGGGCAAAGCTAATAATAAATCCTTGCACCACTACTGATGTATGGTATAAAGACATCGATCAATCAATATATATATATATATATATATGTACACAAATAAATGTTTGGATAGTTCCGTGCATACGTTTAAAGAGTTTTGTAAAATATTAAATTCGGCAAAATGAAATTTGCAGTGAAATTTATTTATAAGAAACAAAGCAAAACAAAATTGAAAAATCAATAACAACAAAAATGACACAAAATTCTGAGTAAAAAAAAAAAAAAAAAAAGTTTTTAAATTGAAACGAAATAGCACAACATACATACACAATGTGTTTCTATAAATACTTCGTATAGATATTTACCCAAACCAATCAGAGCATTCGTGCACTAACAGTCGTGGTTAGGTCACAAGCAAACCCGCAATATGTAGGAAATTTATCTGTCATTTGCAGAGAATCTTGGGCTAATATTCTGTTAACATAAATTACAGGACCATTTAAAAGAAACTTGTAGCAATCCTTTCGACCTAGAATGCCCATTGCTAAAAAAAAAAAAGAAAATCCATACTTTATGTATAGATATGTATACATGTTTTATATACATATACTCATCATCTCAAACTAATTAAAAAAAAAAAAAAAACGACCAAACAATTTTTTTGAGAGCTACCTTACATATAGTCCTGTAAGACATTTTAACCAAATATTAAGCCAAATCTTATATTTGTTTATATGTGGAGGGACACATATAAGACTCAGCTCTAACGAAATATAACTTCTTTGTCGTCTACTATTTATAGTCAAATGTAAATTAGAATCCAACAACTGACTCGCCCTCAATAAGCACAGAACTCCTACAACCTCTATATATGACGTCGTATATATCAATATCCAAGATTCAGATCAATGTGTATCCAGTTTTCCTGGAATGGTTAGGGAAATCGCACCCTTTATAACAACTTGATGTATGCTTTTGGATATCATACAAAATATGTATGTATACTCTTCATCCGATTAAGCAAACCAATCAATGGAATGAAATGTGATAAGCAATCTGCCCGTCCGTCCTTTACCGGTTCGTGAAATTTTCGCAATCACAAATTTGAAGACTAAAGACTAAAGAAATATACGCTTTCCCCCCAGGGGTTTTTGCCCATCAAATTTCAAAATTATAATGAATCGCTCAAGCAATGTTCATGAATTTGAATAGATTTGCGATTATTAGCAAAAGTTGTTACGGGAGATATTGGTGTGACAATGAGTCCATACCGATTAATAAAATATACGATGAGCATCCAAAATTCGTTGCAAAGGTTCAATGTGTAGCGACCTAACTCTCTATTTATTTCATATTTTCTATGCAAATGATTCTAGTAAAAGAAAGTAGTTTTAAATTACAATTCATTAGCTGCCAGTAAATGTCAATGCGGTGGGCAATAAATTGAATGATTAATGCTAAGACCCTTATATGAAACTACAGTTATCTTAGAAATAATATCAAAATATTTTCACATATATTTTTTCTTCGAAATCCGGGTAAAAGAAACAAGAAATAATCGATCTAATGAAAAAAATAAATAAATGAATAAAAGAAAAAAGTGTTTGTGTGCATGTGAGCGAGTAATCGATAGCACTTTCGCTTATGCTTTGTCGCTTGAGTTAAGGTAAAGTTTGTCTGTCGTTTTATTGATTCTTAAGAAATTCTATTCAATATTCGGTCATGTTGTGTGTCTACGAATGTCTGTCAACTTTTTTTTTTTTTTTGAAACTACTTTGCATTTGTATACCGATCGTATGATCGTATCTGTCATCTCAGTACCTATCCTTTGTAATAGTGATGGAGAATAATTTAATCTTTACTTTTTGTGGTTAAATATATGTTTGTTACCGTTGTTGCGGTTTTCTTTAAAGGAATACGCATACCACGAAAATCTTATAAACATTGCCGATCGTACTCGATATTAATCATTTAGATAAATGAAAACACTTTACAATGCCTGTACGTTTAATTTATCGTTTTATAATTTTATTTTAACTATTAGGGTGGTCGTACCTAAAGTCCAACATAGACCATAAAATGTCAATATCGCCGAGATGATAGGTTGGTTTTTGAGACTGAAATTGTCGAAGCGATATTTGGCAAATCATCTTTGGCAGAGCCGAACATCTACAACTTCACATTCGACTATGTTACATAAGTTTTTACAAGCAAGCGATGCATTGCTTCTCGTTTGGAAGTCATGCCGAAATCCAAAGCACTGTAAAGTGTTTTTTTAATCTATTTTGGAAGGTTTGTTATATAATAATACCTTAAATGAGACCTTCTGCTTGCCGTGAACTAGCAAAAAAAAAAAAAAACTGCCTGTGTGTTTAGTGAAAAATGATAGAATTTTCGCTTGCAATCTGTTAAAAGAATATAAGCAAAATTGGCCAACCTAAGGCACGTGACATTTCCTTAAGGGTTTTAGGAAATTTATTCGTCTTTTTCATTTAATTATGAAATATTCATGCAGTGCCCTAAAGCATTTTATTACTTGATTTACTTATTTTTGGCAGTCGGAATTGCTTCTTCTTTTTTTTTTTTTGGGTAACAATAAATAACAAATATTATTGCAGGCAGACAGTGTATATATATATATATATATATATATATATAATTGTCGGTAACGATATAAATGTTTAAATTTATACGCTTTTTTAACTATTCTTTATTACTTTGTGTATTTATTTAGGTTTTACGAACACAATTCTACTCACTCACACATATAACGTTATTATCATACTTTAACATCCTTACAGCCATCATCATCAGTCATTAGTCATTATCGTATTTTATGGACTATTTTCAAGTTTATTTACTGTCTGACACAAGTGTAAATGAGAAAAGTACACACACACATATATATATATATACATATATATATATATATATCCACATATAACGTCCATATGTCTATGCAAGTATAGTTGAGGGTAAAGAAAAAATGCGTGTATGCTTAGGTCTTAACATTTCTTTGTCTATCTGGGGTGTTAATGAATTTAGTGCAACTAAATCCTGCTAAGGCTATTAACACCTTTCTTATGTTTCATTATTGTTTGTTGCTTATTGCAAAAAAAGCAAATAATGTTTCGATCAAGTGTTTACTTTACTTTTATTTGAACAATGAAAAAAACTGTTCTGTTTAAAAAGCACAGAAATACAGAAATTCAGTTATGTTAGCTTAGTATCAGGCAGAGACCCTGAAGGCGAATCTTTGATTACTCCAACGGCAATAATAATAATGAAGATATTTTTGCTTTTTAGAGCAGCAGATGAAGATCATTTTCTCTTTACGGCAGTTTCAAGGCATCGTTTAAAGCATGTGTTGCCCTGAAACGTACATCACTCAGATATATTGTAATCTTAGTGACGTCTCCTATGGGCGAATTTAGATTCGTTTTTTAACATGAATCTTCGATGCAATGAGTTATATACAATTTTTGCTTTTATTTATGCAGTAAAAGCAAGCACCGAATATAATTATTTATCAGGAATTAATTTTTTATTAATTTTTTTTTTTTTTTTTGATTTTTTATTAAATATGTTTGCTTTAACTCATTTTTTTTCTTTTGTTATCTTTATTGCAGTTTTTCTACCCAACAGCGAAGATGGAAATGTATTCATTTTCGCCACACCTTTTCAGCACACAAAAATAAGTTTCGGTAAGTTAAACAGTATATATATTAAATGTATTCTTGATCAATATCAAATTCTAAATCAAATTAAGCATGTCCATCTGTCCTTGTGAGTGGAAGTGTGTACTAGACATTCTTCCGTCATCATCAAAAAAAACATTAGTACTTACGTTATTAATTATGTTACGATTCGAAAAGGTTTACAGTATTTGACCGATACAACAACAACAACAACAGTAGACTATAAGCTAAATACACTTTTACATTCAAAAGTAAAAAAAAAATTGAGATTTTCTTCCTAAAACTCATGAAGCTA